TTTGATCTTACGTTCCCTCACTAATATCAGTCGACGGTGTGTTTATTTCCGCCGTCCATCTTACTTGATCTTGCGTCTTCTCCACAAGAAACGGCCAACCAGCGGTGCAGCATCGCATGCAAGCTACGCCCGGTTCTTGGCCGGCCTGACTCACCCGGGCAAGCTTCATGCTGCAGCTCGTGTTCCGTGTTGGACGGGGCGATCCTAATTCCGAACTGGCGTCGTATAAGTCGCTACCTTGATTGAACTTCACGCCCTTCGCCCCGGTATTTTGTCAAATTCGCTTTGGCAACTCCATTAACAACCCCTCACACCCCAAACCCACCCACCATGGCCACTGAACCCCTCCCTGCCCTCTCTGCCCGCGCTGTGGCGAGCTGGGAAGACAACGCCGCCTACTGGGACAACAGCATCACCAAGCACGGTAACAAGTACTGGAAGCGGCTCCAAGAGCCCTCCCTCGCGCGCCTCATCGGACCCTCGCTACCCAACGGACAGGGCAAGGAATGCCGAGCCCTTGAGTTGGCGACGGGCAACGGCTTATGCGCGCGCTGGCTTTCCCACCGCGGCGCTTCGGTCCTGGCCACGGACGCGTGTGAGAACATGCTGGCGCTGGCGAAGGGTCATTGCGAGCCGGGCACGCCCGAGGAGGGGATCCGCTTTCGCAAGGTGAATGCCACGAGCGAGGCGGAGTTGGGGGCGTTGGCGGCGGAGGGGCCGTTTGATGTGGTGTTGCTGAATATGGCTGCCATGGATATCGCGGACTTGAACCCGCTTGCGAAAGCGCTGCGGGGGCTGTTGAAGGAGGGTGGGGTGTGAGTCCCCCGGACACGAGGGAGATGGGCTGCCCTGACGTGTCAGTGTGCTGAGATATTGGCAGATTTGTGGCAACGCTGCTGCATCCCGTCTTCTTCACTTCCAAGAATACGCGGAGTATCGAGATGAACTATGACCCCGCAACGGGCGAGTACGAGGTCTCGCGGGGCCGGATGATCAGGGAGTACATGTCGGTGCCCCCATCGCTGGGCATCGCCATTCCCGGGCAGCCGGTGAAACAGGTCTGTTGAGTCCGAAGACGTAGACGTTCCCCACTGACGAATGGCAGATCTACTTCCACCGTCCAATGCATGAGCTGTTTAGCACCTTCTTCCAGGTCGGGATGGTCATGGACGCCATGGAAGAGTTGGCATTCACCGAAGAGGACGCAGAGCCGGACAGGGTTGAAGCCACGACTAACTTCCCGCAGTTGCCCGTGATTCTGTCGTTTCGCGTGCGGTTTTTATGGTGAGGAGATGGACAGGAAGTAACGTTCAGTCGTGTCTGCAAGCTCAGGGGCCATGGGTTAAGAATTCAGAAAGGTACACAAGATGTCCCTCAAGACGCGCGGGGTGGCGAAACTGGGATAATTGCAACCTTCTCATTCCTTACATGTAATGAGTAGGCAGGAGGTAGGGAGATAGGTAAGGTATTTTTTCGTGTCAGGAGGGCTGTAACAGAAAACGTCGACTAAGAGTAGCTGTCCACACATATGATAGGAAACTGCGTACTCCTTTCTATGCCATGGAACACTCTAACAAAATCATACAAACTACAACTGAACTCCCTTTTCTATTTCGCTTCCCGCTCATCACGTCATATGCGTCATAAACCCTCTCCCAACTCATCAACCCTCCCATCTCCAAGCCCAAACTAACCCGCCCTCCGCATCAACTCACTCCCCAGCCCCCCCACCAACGCTCCCCCAACAAGCCAATACCCATACCTAAACCACCACCACGTACTCCTCGCATCCCTCAAATCCACACTCCACACCATCGCCCCCAACGCCGCCGTACACCCCCCCGGCGCCAGCACATAAAACACCCACCCCGCCCCCGCCCCCCCCATCACCACCAGAATCACCACCCCCACCCCCCAAATTCAGACTCGGTGGCAACGCCATCCCACACATCACCAAACACCCGCCCAACAAGCCCAGCAATCCCCACAGCGCCGTCTTGGTGTGGCGCAGGCCGCACAGCACGGCAATGCTGCCCAGCCCCCAGGCGGAGGTCGGCGTCGATGTCTTCGGCGGCGTAGATGGTGTCGTAGATGGCGGACCAGAGGGCGGAGGCGGTGAGGAGGGTGAGGAAGGGGAGGGAGAGGGTTAGTGTTAGGCTTGGGGTCGGGGTTGGGAGCGTGAGGGGGAGTGTGAAGGGGAGGGGGAGTTGGGAAAGGGGTTCCTGGGGAAGGTGTGGCGGAGAAGACGTGCGGGAGGGGTGTGGCCCGGGTTGCAGAGCGAATGAGGTCGCCCAGCGCGAAACGGCTCGCAGCCCACGGCCACCGCGCCCATGAACCACGCCCCAGGCGAGGCAGAAGCCGAGGACCAGCTGTGGGAAGGTTGGTGTGGCGCTTGGCGTAGGGGTAGTAGGCGGTCGCGAGGATGTTGGGGAGCGCGTAGCGGAGGGTGCCGGCGGGGTCGGGGAAGCCGAGGAGTGTGATGCCCGCGCCGGCCGCGTTGGCTGCAACGAAGGTGAAGGCTGCTAGGGGGGAGACGTCGCCGCGTGGAATGGGGCGGCGCGCCGTTCGCGGGATCAGGATGTCGATGGGCGCGTCGGCGAGGTCGTCCCACGCGTGCGCGGCGTTGGAGAAGAAAAAGGAGGAGACCAGCAAGAGGAGGCAGGTGTACCACCAGGGGTTGGGGAAGTGGAAATCGCCGTTGATGCCATTGTTCCTGTCGCCGCCGCCACCACCCCGGGCAAGAATGGCGGCGAGGAGCACGCCACAATAGGGTAGGAAGGTAAATCAGGATGAGAGCGGCGGGTAGGGTGAGGCGGGCGAGCTGCACATAGGGTACCCAGGATGCCGGCAGATGCGAGACCCAGCC